TGCCTAGAAACCCGAAAAGTGATGCTACTGTGGATAAGCCCCAGGCGATGTAACAAATCATCAAGTCCCTCTATCAGAACACAAGAGCACTATAAAGTAAACTAGGAGAAATCAGAATACACTGGCTTCTCACAAGTTCTAACCTCCGGAAAGATATGATACTAAACCAAATAGACCTGAGGTTTGACCAAATACTACTTGCTGGAGACTTCAACACTCCGCCCTCAAATCTCAGTAAGCAGGATACAACTCTTACTGGGTGGACTCATAAGTGGCTTACAGCAACCATTGAAAGTTCAGGACTAACTGAATAAGTAGATGGTGCCACAGAGTGTCATAGGGAAGAAACACCTTCGAACTTATTTTGTTCGTTGGCAGCTGGTGAGCTTTTAGTTGATGATGTCCATGTTTACACATCCAAAAGAAGTAGTGGCCACGTCACAAACATATTTAACATGGCCACAAACGGAATATTTCGGATGGAGGAGACTTTTTTCTACCTTGTTCTTACTAGAACAGACTTACCGATTATGAAGGAGCATCTTCAATACACCTCATCTCTAGGAGAGTGGTGGATAATATTAGTGGGTGGCCACTGCAGAACAGTGAGGGGCAGTATTTAGAATGCTACTCAATGCAGTTTACTTCATGGTAATTACACGCTCGGAAAGCAAACACTCTTGATCAATTAATCCCATGTAAGTATTAGAGAGACTAAACTCCCTATACCCAGAAAGTCATCAGGATATGACGTCACCCGATTTATAATCCCGAAACATTGGACAGAAACCATCAGCTTACCGGTGTATAACCTGCACACTAACTACTAAGATAATGAAAGCAGGTGACTCCCACTTCAATCTTCAGTCTGGGATATAAGAAAAACTCAATCTGTTATGGATCGGCCACACTACTCCCACTAAGGCCGAAGGTAATGAGAGGACTGGCCAGTGAGCAAATTATAAAATATATGGATTAAACCAACATCTCACACGAAGCTCAACATGGGTTCAGGAAAGTCAGGTCTTGTCCAATCTAATGACAACATAGAAAGGCTACATGAATAGCTGAGATTATAAACGGGCATTCATATAATATTTTTCAATTACACAAACGCCTCTGACACAGTACCCCATGCACTTCTCATAGGAAATGTTGTTTAGTTGGGCTTCACCGACTGACTTCTATTCTGACGCTAAAACCTTCAAAATAAAGTGCTCGGGAGTTGAAAGTCTCAACATCATTAATTTCACAGGAAACAATTTTAAAACTATTGTTCTTGGTCTTTGTTGTCAACCTGTTAGATAAAATCAACTTGTTGGCACTGACTTATGTAGACAGTGCAAAGATCTGGAATTCCATGAAATGTGAAAATGATTCACTCAAACTTCGGAAGGACACTTAGAAATAGATGAGTGGACAGTAGACAATGGGTCAAAACTTCACCTGTTGAAATGTTATGGTATGAAGATTCTGACTCATGTGACGCGAAGCACTTACACTCTTCATGGGAATTCGCTCCTGATCGTCTCTCCAGGAAGTAATTTTGGGCTTTCAACCACAGGGATCTAGGCTTCCAGCTGAAGCAATATAGGGGATACAATCAAGGCAAGTACATATCTTTGCTTCATGAAAATACAGCTCAGCGCAATCAGCCTACAAATGTCCCTAACACTGCTTAAAAAATATTCATGGTCCACCTTGAGGTTCATAATGTCGTCACGCCTTCCGTCTTCAAAATATATATAAACCTCTTAGACTTAGTATAAAAACGTGCAATCAACATATCAAGTACGCTTAGTCACTCCAATATGAGCACATTATCACGGCATTATCACCACGCACCTCTAGGTAACTCTCGAAAGATTATGCATGGGAGAACAAACACCTAGACACGCCCTCACTTTTTCTCGTTAATGGTTGCTTTTATTTGTGATGCTTTCCCAGCCGAAGTGACCATAGCGCTGTCAGCAGGTAGCTTTATGAAGAGACTAGGCAAACACGTACTCAACCATGGATTGTCATCTTCCTCTTGGACTAGTTGTACTTAATGCATGTCTCCTGATTTACCACTATTATCATTGCCACGTATCAGTTACTACTTCCTTTCTCCTTTATTATCGTCTCCGTCCCTCTTCTTATTGTTCCAACTTCTTTTTACACATTACTAATGAAGTAGTTTACTTGTTTATTTTTCAAACAATCATCCTATGTCTCTCGAATTTCCATTCTCTTAGTTTCTACAGTGAAACCAATCAACCTTCTCCCTGTTAAAACGCTACTGCCCTGAGACAATCGGACTCAGATGAACTGCAAGATATACAAATCCAAAAACACCGACGAAAGTGAATAAAATTAGTCCAGTCGAGTGGATAGATTACCACCAGTTGATCATTACCAAATATCTAGAGCCCTGCTGAAAAAACTAGAAGCAAGCGTAAGGAAATCATTTGGTTTATAGGGCTTTTGTTAAAGATATCGGGTACTGGAATTTCTTGGTCTGAGCTCTGTGGATCATTGCATGGAATGCAGTATCAACGCGAAATGCGTTTTAAGCAAGTGATGATTATAACTGAGGCAACTAGTAAACAATTATGCTTTTGAAAGCCTCCGATTGCAAGGAAAATACATTTCTGCCAAGATTATCAGCCAATTTTGTGGATTTCGGTAGTTGTGAACAAGAATTCTTGGTTCAGTCGACATTTATGCATTTTATCTTGGAAAATGAGAAACAGTTACACTGAGCTTAGATTTGATATCTTTCTTGAAATAAGCCTCGGATCTGGATAAATATTGGTGGAAAAACCCTGCATTTGGTGAATTTCGGGTAATGGAGCGGTTCAATAAAGAGTTGTTACCGAGAATTGATTTGTGGATAGCGATAAGTTTATGTAGTTGCATTCTTTGGCACTATAACAACTGAGCTCACACATTTCTTGCGTGTCATGATAATTTTATTTGTAGTGGTTACACAGCAACTCTCTCAGACGTAATCTAAACTTCTCACAAAGAATGCGGAAAATCATTGTCAAAGAGCTGGTTGAGTCGACCGATAAGGAATTTTTTACACATTCAATGACATGTAATCAACTAATCGGGTAGTTGCTCAGAAGAACTATTTTGTCTAATCTCAATCTACTTTGTCCAAGGATTCTGGCTACGGCTAAATCACCTAAGCTTTGAATAGGAATTTTCACTGATCATTCGTCTCAAGATATAGGTCATGTTAAATTAACAAAATAAAATATAGCCTCTAAACACTTTAAAATGCCTTTAAGATGCACAAGACTTGCCTAAAATCAATTGTACGTGCAATTCACAGTCTTACTAACCGAACATTACACATGGTGTCTTTGCATAAGTTTATGTGAATGACGTTTTAGGAGTACAACAATCATTACGAAAACAGGGAACTTCATTTTGGAAAGGGGTTTGTTTTACACACAACCACCAAACATTTATCTGAACAAGAGCTAGGTCATCTGCGAAATCCAAACCGTCTAATTGGTTCTGAGCTGTCCATTGTACTTCGTGTTTTCCCTCAGATGTTGAGGTCTTCATAATCCATTCGACCACCGGAAGAAAGAGGAAGCGGGAAAGTAGACAGTCATGTCTGACTCCGATGCATACTTGGAATGGAACTGTCAGCTGTGCTGTATGTACGACTTTGTAGTTTAGTCCGTCTTGTGAGTTCCGTATAATATTGACAATCTTCTAAGGAACTCCATAATGTCGGATGAGTTTCCATAATGTTCTTCTGTCTACGCTCACAGTCTGTACGTTTACGAATTGTGACCACAGACGGATTCAGATGGTCACACTCCCCCAGACTGACACTATATTACTTCTGAGCTCAAATACTTGTGTCAACTTTCGAAAATAGTGTCCATATCAAACCTCACCTTTCGCTATTAATTGACTTTGTTTCTACCAACTACTTAAAATATTTCTACTAATCGCTCCCATCAGTTAGTCAAAGTAAATGTCTATTGAGAAAACTGAATGTTTACACGGTAGTTTTAGTTGTCTTAATTCCATTCATTTACACCGACGGAACTCATGAAATTTATAGTGCTCTTGGTTCTCAGCCACCACATTCTTGAGGCCGAACATCTGATAACAGTAGAGCTGGTCAGAAATGATGACGCGGTAACAGTTGATAAGTATATCATGATTTAGCATTGCAGACATGTTCATTCTGTGTAGTACATATCTTCTCATAATAGGCATGTTATTCTATTCCAACCCTGATATATTTTTCAGTAGCACTAAACATCTTGCTGCTGACTGTCACTGTTGGACGTGTCAGTATGCACAATGACGTGAATTCCACGTAAGATCTTGTGAATTAGGCAGACACATCATGAGAAATCTACAGTTTTGGAATTCAGTCTATTATTAAAGTGGCAAAGATAAATGTACTAATACCGAAGTCGACTATAATCCTACAAACTATTCATATAGCTCATCAAGTTCTCTCACCTCTCTTATTGCTTCTCTTTACTTGATATTCATGCTCTTCATATTTCGAGTGAAATTAGTTCATCCTTAATTCTATATTCCGCAGGTTGAATCGAAAGACAGTTAACTGAACACTTTTGTTGAGATTCCACCTATAGTAGCTATGGGTCACCTTTTTAAGCAAACCGGAAAATACCATATTTTTCATACACCAAACGATGTTGAATAAAACCAAAAGACGAAGATAGAGCTTAACACTAACAAACTAAACGAAGATATGTTGTTAATGCAATATTAATTCCGAATCCAGTTAGTATATGATTATTGGTTGAACATGACCAGGATGTCAGGTTCAAATACTTGTTTGTTACGTTTCACTGTACATTCGGTCATAAGCGTAAATCGGAAGGTTTGAAAGTGAATCGAAAATCGTGAGAACTTTAAATTATATATAATATATATATATATATATATATATATTCAAACTGCTACAACCAATCTAAGCTTATCACAAGTTTCCAGAAAGATTGATAATTGGAGGTCAATAAAGTGGTGGCGCTGCGTATGATGTCTGGTTCTTTCTCTCTCTCTCTTTCTTCAATGTAAAACAGGTAGCATCCTTAACTTTGAAGACTATGTACATAAACTCAAAAATGGCAAACAACATTCCTCCTGGGTATCACGTTGAAGTTGTGGGGGACGCTAGATTTGTGGTACCTTTACGGTACTCTAATTTGAAGCCCATTGGTTCTGGAGCTCAGGGCTTTGTTGTGTAAGTTAACCATTTAAACTAAATTCAGTATCGGAGTATTATATTATGCTTCAACAGTTAGGTCAATCGGTTTTACAATTTCTGTAGATTTTTTAGCACGTGATGTGTTCTTAGCAAACTTACAATGTCTCGGGGATTTGAAAATAAAACGGATTGTTGGTACTACTGTACTGATTAGCCTCCACTTTCTCTGTAGGTCTGTTGTTCCTCAATATTTATGCCTTACTCCATACATATAACCATAACTTGAAAATAAGCTATCAAGATACCCTTCGCAGTATTTAGTCCACAAAACTTTGTTGATTTTTCTCTTACGTCCACATATCTGGTCGATTGATCCCTATGTCCATACTTTGAAGTTTTATAGTGAAATTAAACCATAATAAGCATATCTTTCTTTGCAGTTATTTGCTGTTTGTGATACTCATGGACAATCATCAATCAAATTGTGGTTTGAATGCTGCGTTTTGTCTTAGTGCTTAGAGTTCGAGTTGTTTATGTTTTGCTGGTGTGGTTTCTTATGTAACTACACTGTCTAATCTGTTCTATAAAAAGATGTTTATTTTACTGTGTAGATAGCTCATCTAAGTATTTTCATTTTAAAGTTCAAACTGGTTCTCCATACGAATAAAGTTGCTTACCATTGATAGAATTTATGCATCATGATCTTGATTTGTACATATTACTTTTGTATGGGATTAACTGTACTGTTGATTCTGTCTGTGATCATGTTTGTTCTCACGTAACAGCGCTATATTGTGATTTTTTGGTTCTGATCCAATGAGTATTTCCTGGCTATCACTGACTTACTGCTTAACAGTCCTCTCTTCAATACTTGTTGACTCTGAAACATAACTATAAGATAGATATGTGTGTCCTGCATGTTCCTAATCGTAGGCGTATTTGAAGCATCGCTGACATATCGTGAAACAGGCAAATCTTAAGGTTAGGGATCTGGTACTAAAGAAATGTGGCAAACCTGTTAATTACGTTGCCAATATTCATCGATTAAGGTGATCAAAACACGTTACGCATGACTAACCACCAAATACTCAGACGGGTGTTTACTAGTGTAGGAGTAGGTTAGAAAATAGATAGAGGCATCCGAACTTTTATTTATTTATTTGGTCATATAAATATTGGTACAAGAGGGCATCAAATATTTATGCGCCACACAAAACAATGAGAATTCAAAGAAGAAAAGGTAAGGAGCGTAAAAAAGAGCAATAACGAACAGCTTAATGTAAGGTTGTGTAATAGTAATCATGGGGAAACGAAAAGTTACAATCAGAAGGAATCCTTCAGCTAAAGAAGAAATATCCATTTTTAATGAAGAAAGTAAAAGAAGGCTACGACAGGATCATAACAGGTTTCTATTCTGAGTCATATCTGATAACCTCTATAGCCACTGTCTTGCACCATTTCTAAGACCCCAGCAAGCCAGTCGTGAAGGTCCAACACAAGCCAGTCCTCTGCAGCTTTCTTTCATACCACCACACTATGTCATACACTGACCACCTCTCCACCTCGCTTTTTCCAACCAGTTCCACCGTCGGCAAATAATGCACGACGTGGAATTCTCTGAGACGACATTCGTAGAACATGTCCAAGCCACCGAAGTCGATGTTTCAAGATGGTGACACCAGTTGCATTATCGTCTCTGTGCCCAACACACACAGTGCCGAACCTCTGCATTACTAACATGGTGTTACCACTGGATGTCAGCAATCCTTCGGAGACAGCGATGATCGAACACAGAGAGTCGTCTAACATCGTCAACTCGGAGAGGCCAGGTTTCACAAGCATAGAGCAAAACTGCTTTCACCGACGCGTTGTAGGTCCGACGCTTTACAGCCAGACCGGCATCACGAAGGCGTCAAACATGGCCCAGATTAGCATGCGCCACTCTGGCTTTCACTATACGTGCATTGATCTCATCACTAACACCATCACCACCACCAGCACTTATGCAGCTACCCAGATACACGAACTTCTCGACTACTTTTATCTGCTCACCATCTAGGGTGAGTACAGGATTAGAATCCTGCCAGTCGTGTAAAAGTACTTTGCACTTCGAAGGTGCAAAGCACACACCTTACCTACGGACATTGCCAACTGATTAAGTGCGGATTGCATGGCTTGGGCATTATCGCACAGTAAGACAATGTCATCCACATACTCAATGTCGAGAAGTCTTTCTCCAGGCAACAGATCCACACCACCATTACTTACATCCATCAGAGCTGTTTCCAGAATGTCATCGATGGCAAAGTTGAAGAGGAATGGTGAGATTGGCAACCCTGTCTGACCTGACTGCTCAAATGGAACAATGGAGAGAGGTGGTTGTATGCCCTCTTTCTGCCTGAGGTGTTTATATATAGATCAGAGTTCAGATAGATACTCCAAAAGAAGCGACAGTCTTGTACACAACCACGCCGGCGGTAGCTGGTCGCGATGTGATCAATCTGAGTCCAGGCTTGAGATGCAGAGGGAGGACACCTGGTGGCACATCAAAGATGACTGTGCCGGAAGTTAGTGCTAGCCAGAAACAGGTTGTGGTCTGTGCACAGTTGCAGTAGACGGTTCCTGTTATCTGTCCTGCCGACCAACAAGTCCCCATCGTCCACCTAAACGACTCTCTTCTGTGCCTAGACGCCCGACGTGAGCATTCAAGTCTCCGGCTAGTACTACAATATCTGTCGAACGCATTTTCTGAAGAAGAACAGTTAACTGGTAGCAGAATTCATCCTTGATCGCATCCGGGCTGCAATCTGTTGGAGCATAGGCGCAGATGACGAAAAGACATCGTTTCTTACATTGATTTCTTCTCACTTTGATGGAACTTTCTAATCTAATAGCACATAACCGACTGTTAATGGTGATCCAATCGATTAGTGCTGCCTTAGCTATGGCGCTTAGTGCGACATCAACGCCAGCAAGACCAGAAGAAGATGCCACAGTGTCCCCGGATAAACCCACGTAAAACAAACTTTTTGAAGCGACAGATGGGGAGCGAATTTGTAGTACTTCATCAGAGTCTTGAATACGGGTCTCTGATAGACAACAAATGTCGATATTACGACTTTCCAAAGACATAGCCAGCTCTATCTGTTGTCCGACCTGCATAAGTGGGTGGACGTTGAAGTCAGCCAGTTTGAATGGTGCAGGTGGTTTCAGAAAAACTGCTTCAGTATCCGTATTTGGTGGTGGCATTCAGTTTTCAACCAGGCAGTGACTCGAGAACGTCTAGATAGAACCGAGTTTTCACCATAGGCGAGCTCCTGTATTAGTCAAAAATAAGGATACACAGAGTGGGAATAAAAGAGTGAATAAATGACGTAAAAAAATAAGAAGAATAATAGTAATAATAATATTGTGAATCGTTTGGTTGTTGATCGAAGCAAGAAACGTATTTTTCATAAATATCGACATTTCATATTTGTGTGTGGTCTCCGATACTGCCCAGGTGCCCAAACCGAAGCCGGTGGTTTTCTCAGTGGGCCACACCCCGAGTGTTTGACCTAAAGGTCTGACCCTCAAGGCAGTAAAGCATCGTGAGGAGATGCAGTCCCTTGGTAGCCGGTGACCGAAAATTAGTTCATATGCCATTTGTTCCCGCAAGATACTGGAGTCCATGTACACCATTGGTTTGGGATCCGGTTAAAGCGCCGGACATTCGCTTTTCGTCCTCTCATTTTTGTAAACAACACCCCGATGAGAGAAGGCAGTGAGTAGGACTTCCGCGTAAGAGACTGTATACGCGTGGCCGTGTGAGAGTATTTCGAGAGGGAGGGCGAGCCCACACCACTCTCGGTCATACCAGGTCATTTGGGGGCGTCCAAACTAAGACATGGCATTAACCCATGAAGTCATTGACAATTAGTCCGAACTGTTTTGGGGGATGAAGGCTGCTTGATTGGGATTCGTGTGATTGTCTTATTGGTTATAAATTTTGGGTGACATGGATGGGAATCATTCACAATGTCTCGATTACGTTCGCTCTTGATATTTCTCTCAGTTATGAATTTCCGTATTTCTTAATACACACCTTTGTATCCTGTCTCTGATCACTATTGCTATCAGATTTTCGCTGTTCTTGGTATTTTTGTCTCATTTTAATATAATTTGGCAACTTGTGTTAATATACATTTGCGTTACATTGTGTTTTGATGTCTGTTTGTCTGATGCTTGCAGAAACCAGTTTGTCAGTCTAAGACTGTCGATAACTGGTGACACGACGAAAGAAGCTTGATAAATTAAACTGTTTGAAAATTCCTGCTTGTGTTTATTTATTTGTTTAAACATAAATATTAGTACCAGGAAGTACCAATTACATTAGCGCCACACTAATCACTTGCTATGTGTAAAAGCTGGAATACTGACCGGGCACAATCTGAAGCACATGGTTTTCTTAGGGCGCCACTCCAGGAGCCTTCGACCTAAAGGTTTAATCAACAAGACAGCGGAGCAACGTCAGGAGATTCAGTCCCGTGGTATCCGGTGACCAACAATAGGTTCATACGCCTATTCGTTTAAATTTAGACGAAAGTTCTTATTTATCATACGCCTTTTGTTTATTCAGGATAAAACACATTTTGGTGTATCTTTAGGTTCTTCGACTGGGTGACTGAAATGCATTGTTGTACGTGCGATCTACCTAGATGAACCAGTGGATTTTAAGGTGTTATAAAGACCCCAATAAAATGTTGCCTATAACTCGGTTCTCTGCTGAGTGCGTAAACTACTAAAATGTCTGTTTTCACCCATCACCCGTATAATTTTTATTTTATCTAAGTTTATGTTACTGTTCCATTTGTCTTATTTTTAATTCTCACATAAACATTGATTTTATGTACTCCCTATTAAATAATGGATACAGCGATGGGTTAGTGATTAGAGTACTCAGTTTTTAACCAGTAATTTGCCTTTCCAAACTCCTCTCCATTTATTTCGATTTGCTCAAACTAACATTATCACAAGCCGTTACATCGACAGTATTCTTCAAAGCTACCGAGTACATAAATGTGTACTTGGCAAATGAGTTACATTAAATCCGTTATATTGAAATGATCTTCTGTTTGCTTTCTCCTACAGAGCTGCCTATGATTCAGTACTCAAACAAGATGTTGCCATTAAAAAATTGGCTCGTCCTTTTCAAAATGTTACACATGCCAAACGTGCCTATCGTGAATTTGTTTTGATGAAACTGGTGAATCACAAAAATGTTAGTAATCTGTTTTCTTTTCAGTGCCAGCTTTATCGCCTACGCTTTACCTATGTTTTTGTAGATTATCTTGTAATTTTGTTTAGCCACCTTGATCTGTTTTATTGTTCAGTTACTAAAACTTGATCATTAAAATTATTTTTGGATTTGGTTAGTAAACTTCACCGTACATCAGATTACATGAGGGATTCTTTATTGAATGAAGAAACTCAACAGAACTGTAAAATTTGATATAGCATAGATGGAATTCGTCAGTTTGATGTACCTGCATCTTAGAGTTGAAGTTGATTCCGTTACTCAAGCTCAATACCATTCGCTTAAAACAGCGATGCATTATCCATTTAGCTAATAGACTCAGTTTCGTAATGGCTAACTCTACCTGTTCTATTATTCATCAGCGAAAATTCAGTGGATTAAAATATCATTGTTCACACAACTGATTTCATATAGTTCACCAAAATATGAATAAGAATCACAATTGATTGATCACTGGGTGATGATCAATGTCATGCTTGTCTAGTCCTTATTAGTGCAGATCGAATGCTATTGATCGTGTTGCAATGTGGCCACCAGTCTAGGTGACTCGACACTGCGGGCACTATGTATTGAGATTTTAGATGGTGGTTGGAGGTAGTCAACAGGAAACCCTGAATCCGTGTTTCCTGATGACTACCTCCAACCACCATCTAAAAAATGAATAAGAATCATTTGACTGAATACAAACAAAACCAATAGATTGTCAAAATAAATGTAACCCATTTTTCGGGCACAAGTGTTTTGTGTTCAGCTTCTAGCTACATTTCAAATGTAAGGTTTATTCTACTCAACCAACTGCATATTGTTGAGGCCTATTAATGATTGTGATTTAAAACTTCCAGTAAGTCAACGTTATGTTGTCTGTCAGTCATTGTAAATAGATCGTTCATGAAGTTTAGAAAAGTCCAATTTTTTTTTAATGTCTTATCCACTGACTCAGATTTCTTAGTGTTTAAGTTGTTGGCTAACCATCTTTTACATACTAAGTAAGTGTTTTCATTTCAAATGGACACAACCAGAATGTATCACAAATTTCGTTTGTGTTCTTAGTTCAGTTATATTAACCTAAACTGAACTTGTTAAATTTGACTCTTTCTCTTTGTGTTCTTCTCCATACTACCAGTTCATCTAATTAACGGACCTAATTATTTTGTTACTAATAAGCGGTTGTTTGGTTATAGAAACAAAGAATACCTTCCGTTAATTTGTCATTGGAATATATCTACAAATTCAGTTGGTTTTTTGTGTTTGTAACACATCATTTCATTCTTCAGTTGTTACATTTTATCAATTTATCTAGATAGAATTCTACTTGTTGTATCTTTAAAAACTGAAGAAACTTTCTTCCACATTTCCATTGGTGTTGATTATTTACTGACGATGTATGAAGAAATAACGTTTCAATCGATTACTGAATGTACAGTAGATCTGTAGCTTGTTAATTAAAACACATCCAATATGAACTTGTGTCGTTTTGTTTTTTGTTTTTATCATTTAAGTAGTATGCATGATATTCACGCAGTAAATTTAATTCGGAAGTTGGTGCACAAATATATATCTAACTATTGATTTGTACTATGCAAAGAGATATGGTTAAGGAATTACAGCTAATCAGCCTTCCAAGAATTAACAATGAGTTAAAACAATTTTTATATTCCTTTTTCTATCTGTTCATCATTTTTGAATTAATTCATCAGAATAATAACCTCATAATTAATTAAATTATTGTTTCTTTGGAATTCCTATTTCCTCTATTATTTGGATGTTGTTCAATGTGGATGTGGACCACCTATGGGATAATTATATCTTTATTAAGTTTATGTGTACTGCATATAATCTTTGCAATTAATGTTTACACTTGTTTACACCTCAGACAGAGTGAGGGCATACAACCACCTTTCTCTATTGTTCCATTCGAGAAGTGGTGTTAGTCAGGGTTGCCAATCTCACCATTCCTCCTCAACTTTGCCATCGATGACATTCTGGAAACAGCTCTGATGAATGTAAGTAATGGTGGTGTGGATCTGTTGCCTGGAGAAAGACTTCTCGACCTTGAGTATGCGGATGATATTGTCTTACTGTGCGATAATGCCCAAGCCATGCAATCCGCACTTAATCAGTTGACAATCAATGTCCGTAGGTAAGGTGTGTGCTTTGCACCTTCGAAGTGCAAAGTAATTTTACAAGACTGGCAGGATTCCAATCCTGTACTCACCCTGGATGGTGAGCAGATAATAGTCAAGAAGTTCGTGTATCTGGGTAGCTGCATAAGTGCTAGTGGTGGTGATGGTGTTAGTGATGAGATCAATGCACGTATAGAGAAAGCCAGAGTGGCGTATGCTAATCTGGGCCATCTTTGGCGCCTTCGTGATGTCAGTCTGGCTGTAAAGCGTCGGACCTACAACGCGTCGGTGAAAGCAGTTTTGCTCTATGCTTGTGAAACCTGGCCTCTCCGAGTTGACGATGTTAGACGACTCTCTGTGTTCGATCATCGCTGTCTCCGAAGGATTGCTGACATCTAGTGGCAACACCATGTTAGTAATGCAGAGGTTCGGCACTGTGTGTGTTGGGCACAGAGACGATAATGCAATTGGTGTCACCATCTTGAAACATCGACTTCGGTGGCTTGGACATGTTCTACGAATGTCGTCTCAGAGAATTCCACGTCGTGCATTATTTGCCGACGGTGGGACTGGTTGGAAAAAGCGAGGTGGAGAGGTGGTCAGTGTATGACATGGTGTGGTGGTATGAAAGAAAGCTTCAAAGGACTGGCTTGTGTTGGTCCTTCACGACTGGCTTGCTGGGGTCTTAGAAATGGTGCAAGACAGTGGCTATAGAGGTTATCAGATATGACTCAGAATAGAAGCCTGTTATGATCGTGTTGTAACTTGTTTTACTTCCTCCATAAAATTGAAAATAACTTCTTTAACTGAAAAAATCCTTTCTGGTCGTGTTTTTCCCAACTAAACTGTTTATCCTCCCATTATTATTTCACTCATACACTAATTTCTGTTCGTTGTTGCTTGTCTTTTTATTATACTTAACCCGCATTCGCTGTTTCTTCACAACCTCATTGTTATTTTGTGGCATATATGTATCTGGTGCCCTTTGTACCAATATTTATCTGTTCAAATAAGTAATTGGGTGATGTGACTGAGAATCGTTCACAATAGCGTAGTTGCATTCACTACTTATCTTTCAGAACGTTCAGAAGCCTCCCTGTACAGTTTTTTTCTCCGTATCTAATGTTTTTATCACTTCGGGATTTGTCTTGGACTAACTATCTCAAGTACATATATCAGTTTCCATGTTGCATATGGCTGACTCATTAGTCGTTTTATATATAGGTGTAATGTTTACTTGTCAATTTGTCTAAAGACTAAAATTCTCTGACAAAATGAAATATTGCCTTCTTAGCTAATGTCAGTCAACTTGATGTACTACAACTCCGTTACTATTCAATGCGTTGGCAATATTAAAAGCGGAAGGTGTAAGCGTTTTCAATATCTCAGTACATACACTGTGTTTACTGTTATATATTTGTAATCTCTCGATCATTGCTGTATTTTTGTTCACTACTTCACATTAGATCATATCATTATTAAACGCATTTACTCCTCAACAAACATTGCAAGATTTTCAAGATGTTTATTTGGTGATGGAGTTTATGGATGCCAATTTATGTCAGGTAATTAACTTTCTTTCTACAATTCATACTTTGACACTCCTACTTTGAATTCATAGATGTGTTAGGCATTTGATTGAGTCCAGTGATGTAATCCACTTTACCTATCCGTTTTATACATACATAACATAATTATTCATAATTTAATAGACACTTTGGCATATTCCTTAAGACTGACAGTAAGCAAAGTCAATGTATAACTCAATTCAGATACACTTAACAACAGCGTATTCAAAGAAGACATGAAAATGTTTTAAGAAAAAAAGATTTTGAAATTCTCATTAAGCAATAAATACACAAACTAATGTGATTTTAATTTTTTATTTGTTTATTTCGAATCCTAGTCAAGAAGTATACAAATCATGACTCTTTCGGCTAATTGTTCAGATTTAAAAGGTTCAGGATAAACTTTAACAGTCATATTCATTTATTCTTAAAACTGGTTGTCACAGTACATTTTAGAACCGACCCCGTATGTTGCACTCTCTTTTTCATTCATATAAAAGTTTCAATAGTTGAAATCATGAGCCAATTCAAGCCAGATCACCATGAAAAACCTGGAGGCACTGGATGGCCGTTTCGTCCTAGTATGGGACTCCTCAGCAGTGCGCGTCCATGATCCCACTACCCACTCGCGCGCGGGACTGGTAGGTCCTGGGTTCGAATCTCGCGAAGCCAAATCGTGGATGCGCACTGCTAACGATTCACATATTAAGACGAAACGTTCATCCAGTGTTTTCAGGTTTCCAGTAGTGGTCTAGCTTCAATTGACTCATGACTTCAACTATTGAGATTACTAAATTCTCCGAAAAACCCCTTCTGATATAGAAAAGTTGAAGATCAATTAGCAGCAAGATGAAAGTTGATAATTAATGGATCATATTAAACAACACAGCAAAATATCAATAAATTAAATAGTATCTATCAGTGATTTCCATCATAACATAAACTGTTTCTGTTCATATCAGTTAAATATAACAAAATAGAAATTTCATTAATACTCTAATTTGAATTATTACGGTTTGTAATGACACATACAAGAATCACTTAAAGGATGATTCACAAACATTAAACATACACTTATTATTATTATTTTTAAATTTATCTTAAAAATCTCAAACGATTATTTGGTTAATATAAACGTGATTCTCCATACAATGTTGCTAGAAATATTTACATATACCGAAATAATATATTACAAAGAAATGATTTTAATTTCAATAGTTGAACTGATGAGTCAATTGAAACTAGACCACTATGAAAAACGTGGAAGCAGTGGATGGTCGTTCCATCCTATTGTGAGACTCCTCCTCAACAATGCGCATCCACGATCCCGCCTCGCGAGATTCGAACCCAGGACCTATCGGTCTAAGATACAATATAGCTTCTAGTAAACATATAATGTTAATGCAAACTTTACTATGTTTACACTGTATACAGTTGGTATATATTCTAGTTGTAATTCTAATGTGGATTGTAAGTGTCTTAATTAGTCTATGAATTAGCCATTTTGTTCATGATCTGTGAATGGATGATCATTCTTCCGCATGTTATGAATTTGTGTACGTTCTTAAATTATCATCCAATTAGTAATATGATTGTGTAATATACAATTTGGCACATTTCCCTTATTTTCAGGTGATCAATCTTGATTTAGATCATGAACGAACCTCATATCTTTTGTATCAAGTCTTATGTGGTGTAAAACATTTACATGCAGCCGGTATAATCCATCGAGATTTAAAACCCAGTAATATTGTTGTAAAACATGATTGTAGTTTGAAAATTCTGGATTTCGGTTTGGCTCGTACAGCTGGAGATAGCTTTTTGATGACTCCATATGTTGTAACTCGGTATGAACATTAACATATTTTTCATTACCCTATCAGTTATCGTTCTTCAGTGTTCATTATTAGCCGGTTTTAATGATTAAATATGCTTAACATTTTGACATTTTATACTTGACAGTTCTTATCAACAGACACTGTCTGCATTTCCTAGGCTAGTTGTTGAATTGAACCAGTGTTATTCAATGTTGTATTATTTCACTTAATCAGAAAACTATTCCATGTATAGTTGAAACCTTTTAAAACTCGACTATCTCCACTAAAAGACTTTCCTATATATATATATATATATATATATATATATATATATATATATATATATATACTAATAAGGTACTGTTCATAGATCAAGTCGTTTCATCTACTGACATACTTCCTCATTCTTGTTTATATATTGGAGATGAAGGTTCAGCAAGGTCATTGTTACTCAGGATCTCCTAATTTCGAAGCTCTTGTGAACCCATGCTCTTGAGGAACTGACAAGTTAGGTCTCTTTCTGTAGTTCCACAATGATTAGATTCGTCAGCAGTAACGTTCACCGTCTACCTCGTATACATCAACGTAAACTTATGCCTACATCACATTCCTCTCTAAATTTTTACGTTAATGTAACAAGGTTAATCAAATGAAATAGTTTTATTGTTTGGTAATAGTCTTTAATTCTTGAAAGATAGTCGTCATACTTCAAACATCTATGGTTCCTCAGTACAATATCACATCATATCATCTCATGTAAAAACTATAAATATACTAACGTTTTAACTATTGTGCTTCTGACTTCCATCTAACCTTGTTATTTGGAATATAATCACTTTCCTATTCAACCGTGTTCTGATTTGAGGATATGTCGAGTGAATTGGTGACCAAGAATAACAAGCAATAGGAATGGCTGGCTTGTAACAAGAGAGAATTATAACAGACCACAATACAGTTTAAAAAAACCTATTTGGTTCAATGGACTTTTCAGATGGTAGAGAAGATTTTTAACTCAGATGGATGATTTTGATGGAGTTTTCTTCTCTGAGCTGGATAGTTTGGCTGTGGAGCTTTCATCGTTCTTCTCAGCGATGTTGTTCAGAATGGACTTTTCAATTTTAGTGTTTGTATACTGTTTTAAATTTGATATATTTATGTTTATAGACGTAAATTTTAGTTTTAAAATACTGAATTAAAACTTCTATAAAATTATTTCTTTTTATAGTTATTATCGTGCTCCAGAAGTTATTTTAGGTATGGGTTATTCTGAAAATGTAGATATTTGGTCAGTTGGTTGTATATTTGCTGAAATGGTTTTAGAAAGAATTCTATTCCCCGGTTATGATCATATTGATCAATGGACTAAAATTACAGAAGAACTTGGAACACCAGGACCAGAATTTATGAATCGTTTAGAATATGCTGTTCGTAATTATGTAATGTCACGTCCAAAAAATGAACCACGTTCATTTACTGAACTTTTTCCAGATGATCGTTTCCCTCCACCTAGCACCGTAAGTTATTTCAATTCTTTCTTTTTTTAACCTTTTATGTCTCAAAGCACTTTCCATATATTAGGAGCTATAATCAAATATGGTTGTTTTTCCATGCCTTTTGTATATTATATAGATTAACAATTCTTATCATTTGTAAATTTTCAGTTACTTACTTACGCCTGTTACTCCCAATGGAGCATAGGCCGTCGACCAGTATTCTCCAACCCACTCTGTCCTGAGTCTTTTTTGTAGTTCTATCCAGTTTTTGTTCATTTTTCTCATGTCTTTCTCCATTTCTCGGTGTAATGTGTTCTTTCATCTTCCTCATCTCCTTTGGCCTTGAGGATTACAAGTGAGGGTTTGCCTTGTGACACCGTTGGGTGATTTCCTCAATGTATCTTATCCACTTCCAGCGCTTCTTGATTTCTTCCTCCCCTGTGATCTGGTTTGTTCTCTCCCACAGTAGGTTGTTGCTGGTAGTGTCTGACCAACAAATTTTCAGGGTACTAATTATTTTACTCACTTCTGTTCATTTTATTCATTCACAAGAACCTTGCATTATTTATCATGAAGCTGAATATTGAAATGTCCGTAAACCGGAGTTCCCTAGTATAATCTTCATTCATTTTCTTGTATATTGAGAAATAAAAACCAATTATGTATTTAGGTTCCTGGTTGGAGTAAAGTGAATTCTATTTACGAGCGATTGAGAATCTTTTGATACACACATTAACAAATATGAACTCGAATATACCGTGTGTTTCAAACCCAATACTTCAATGATGATAATCCACCATAATAAGCAAAAAACGAAGTGTTAAAAGGATGTAATGTAAATTTGATATGGTACAACTCAGTACATTTAGTAACGAATGGATGACCCTGAAATATATAGAAAATTAGTAGACTAGAATTAATGACAACCAATCGGGAGAATGTGATGAACTGGATTGGAACAAAAACACTCCCAGTTGTCACTACTAGTAAGGCTTTAACATTAGTATAAATTGAGCGATCTCATAACTGCCTTATTTATATTGTTCCTTTTTTCACAAAAGTTCGTTTCCGGCTAACGCTTGCTTGATGTACTAATTTAAGACTTACTTAACATATGTGTTTTATGAAGACTATCTTACTTTCAAGTTCCCTAGATAATGTGATTATTAATTACTAACCATCTGGGTGATTCTTCTGCATTTTAACCGGGTCATTCAGGCTTGCAGTATGATTTGTGTTACACATATATATCATGTTTGCAGGAGATTCATATTGCCGTGAGTTTTATAATGCACCATACCAATACCAAATGTACACATTTATTTATTTAAACACATAAACATTGGTTCAAGGAGACACCAAATAGATATGCGCCATATAAATCATTCAATTCGTGTGAGGGCTGGGATACTGCACGGGTGCCCAGACTGAAACAAATGGTTTTAGGGTTCACACCCTGAACCTTCGACCCAAAACGTCTGATCCACAAGGCAGTGAAGCAACGTCAGGAGATACAGTCCTATGGTAGCCGGTGACCAACAGTAGGTTCATATACCATTTGTTCCTTCAGGATCCTAGAGCCCATGTACACCATTGGTTTGGAATGAGGGTTTTACAACTCTGCTTGGTGGATAATCCGTGTCCACCAACCCGATTAAAGCTCCGGATGTTCGCTTTTCATCCTCCGAATTTCGTTTCGGGCACCCATGCAGTATTCTAGCCTTCATACAAACCGAATAATCTATGTGGCGCATATCTATTTGGTGTCTCCTTTTACCAATGTTTATGTGTTTAAATAAATAAATATCACATTACCATTAAGCTAATTGAATGAATTAGTTCGTGTTTAGTGCAACATACAATTTCCTTTATCGTCAATTCCTTTGCTAATTATCTAAATAAATTTTATCTACCAAAGTTAACTGTCAATAAGATACAAAGTGGCACACGTAATCCGATTTAACACAATTGACGGTTCTACGTAGACTTTTTCTTTTCTATCTAATGAATAACTAAAATATTTTCTATTGTAGTAACATAAAATTGAGTTCATAGCGAAAGAAAAAGGCTAAAGGCAACGATGGAAAATGTCTGACAAAAGAAAATAATGAGACATTAATTAAAGCGCACAAAATAACTATGAATAATTTGACATAAATAACAAATAGATCAAAAGGCAAATAATAACTTTGGAATGCTTATTTGAATGTGTAGATCCAGTATAAGCGGCGTATCTGTCCAATTTACTACAATGACTGTATACTATTAAATGTGGTAGCTAAAGTTTGAGAATAATGACCATTAATTCAAAAGTAGATATTAGAAAATACCGAACGAATAAAACCCAAAAAAACAAATTTGAAAGATAAAGAATAATTACAATTATGGTGTATGTTACTTACGTCGACAGACATAAGTAGTATGTGACATCGATCATAAGTGGAATGCTTGTAAAAAGAAGGCTTAGAAGACTGAACTTTTAAAAGTTGTCTTTTGTATAGAAGTAAGAAATTTGAAGGTAATTTTCCATCATAAACGACAGAAAACTGTAGTGTAATAAACAATCATTTTATATTACAATAGTTGAAATCATGAGTCAGTTGAAGCTAGACCACCATGGAAAACCTGGAAGCACTGGACGGCCGTTTAGTCCTAGTATGGGACTCCTCAGCAGTGTGCATCCACTATCCTGCCCCCCCCGCAAGGTTCGAACTCATTTTATATTAGTTTAAGGATCGTCAATTAGATACGGATTGATACATATATGATGCAGCCTTCTATTATTATTTCGTGTAATCCACTATCAATGAAATCAAAATAGTATACTGGAAATCTGGACAGCTCTAACCGGTTTAAAAGTAAAGATAAATGCTCAAGAAATTTATTGGATGGTTCCTGCTTGAAATCGCTAGTTATCAAACATTGAAATCTTACCCTAAAATAAAAGAATAACGTGTTATAGCACTAAGTGGTCTCGTATTTATTTATTTTCGGAACTGAAATACACGCATGAAAAAACTATCGAATAATTCCTGAATTTTAGCGATTCTTCTGAGTATTACTTGCTTACGCCTTCTACTCCTCGTGGAGGAGCATAGGCCGCCCACCACCACTCTACATCCAATGCTTCCCGGTTGTTATTCATTCTTTTCATGTCTGCTATTTCCCGACGTATCGTGTTCTTTGGTCTTCTGAGAATACCACATTCAAATAAACTGAATATCCATATCACCTTTTTGTAGATAATATTAACAAGTAGATACTTGTTTCTTTACTTATTAAGATGTTTGCTAAGACTCTGCTCATGATTTCATTTGATTTGTGAAGTTGTCAATGAAAGCATCAGTTTCGCAAGTTTAGTTTGTGGTTCATTATATTTACTCTTTATGTTTTTTCCACTTTCCTCTTTCCTTCTATATTTTGATAGGATCATGAAACACTAAACGCTGACCAAGCTCGAGACTTATTAAGTAGAATGTTAGTAATTGATCCATTACAAAGAATTTCAGTTGATGATGCTCTTCATCACCCATATATACACGTATGGTACGAAGATTCTGAAGTAAACGCGGTACGTTAGTTGATATATGGAAATGTAGTATCCCAAGAGTTTTATAAACATATATATTTCTGGCTCTACGTATTAATATGTTTAACCTTCGCTAGGAATAACGGTTCACCGAATGAACCTGACCTAAATCATTCTAAAAGAAGAAAAATTTTTGTTTATATTTCATTAATTTATCTAAGGTTTTTTCGAATTAATAAATTTATCAGGCACTCCTCCTCTTTAAGTAAAAGTTCCAGAGCATAATCCCGTTCAGTGAGCTGACAGGAGTTTTTGAATCAAAATATACAGCGACTGTTCGTTTTGAGTACATTTTATGATATTCAAGCACTGAATATAAGGTGAAGATATGTTCAGGGTTTTGGATACATGAAAACAATTGAAATTTTTTAGACGCTCCTACTATTTTCACTGTAGTGAGGAATTCTGACTTTCAGCTTTTCTAATCTTCACGTATTCTTCGTAAAAAATTTCGGTTATGTAGTTTGCACACATTGACGTACTTTCAATCTATCGTGTTAAATCGATGAACGTTAAAAGATTGGTTGGAGTCCTTGCTACCTGATTTTTTATGAATTTAACCTTTGGCTTTTATCTTATTTCGTGAATGCAACTAATGTTCATATATATTTATTAGTGGGGCAACAACTAGTGATGATAATAATAGTGATCCTTTTATTCAATACTTTATTGAACTTTTTTGGTTTAAAATTAGATGCATTAGCGGTGATGTTAGACTATGACACTTAGCATATGACCTTGACGTCAGCCCTGTTAAACACAGGTAGATTATACTGTCTAGACGGACAGACTATGACTTTACACCGCTTCTCCTTAAATTCCTAAGCACGTCTATGTGATATTACATAAGTTAGTAGCGAAAATCTCCAGGTTCTCAGTCTGGCATTTTTTTGTGCAGTCTGCCTCGGAAAGTGAAGGTAGAAAAACTGATAATAATATACATGGCCTAAGAATAGTTGTGCCAGATATCATATTCACTGACATATCAACAAAACATAACGTTTGTTGATTTAACGTCTATTCATAACAGAACTTCCAGGAGAGACATCTTCAATCCCTAACTTTAGCAGAATACTTAAATGTAAATAACAGTTAATCGAACTTCTCTAAAAAAGGTTGTAAATCATCTTATTATTACTACTAATACTAATCCTGTGGTGTACATCCATGCTATCTGTTTTGATTACAATTTATCTATTATTTTCGTTTTAATTTTAATTTTAGCCACCGCCAGCTCCATATGATGATTCACTTAGTGAAAGAAATTTATCAGTTGAAGAATGGAAAGCGCGTATATTTCATGAAGTAAAAGAATTCGAAGCTAAAGAATCTCATATACGTAATGTTCAAAATTAAATGATCTTTCAAACAAATGGATCACATGTGTATATACACATGCATTTATAAGACAAAATATTAAAAGACAGACAAACTGAGAGAGAGAGAAAAGTGTTCTACATAAAAGATCGAATAAACGAACATTATAAATGATGATCAAGTTATCAACAACAAACCTACAGATTATTCCCAGCTTTCTTTTCTTTTAAAAAAAAACTTTATTAACTGGAAACTGTGAATAGATGTAGTGGTGGTGGTGGTAGTGATACAGTGAAACTTTTGGTTGTTTCCTTGTTTTTATATCATTATTATTATTATTATTTTCTATTGTTTAACCTCTTGTAAATTTATTGGCTACCAGTTATTATTATTGTTTTGTATAAAATAAATAATCGAGATAGTTGTCTATATATAGAATTATTTATCATTATTATTCCAAATGTGCATACAATAATTCGCTTGTGTTATCCTTTGATTATGTACTGTATAGGAAATGAATGGTCCGTTGAATGTATACATACACACATGCATACATATGATGTAACTCGAATGGATTATGTTTATTTTTTTTTTAAAATTTTATCGTTGTTTTATTTCTTTTTACATTTCCCCCTTTATTAATTCTTTTCTTTAAAATTTTTTTTAGTTTCCATATATGTTTATGTATATGTGTGTGTTTGGTAATTTTTGTTTTTCTTTCTCCCTGTTATTACTATGTTATTATGTAACTTTAGTGTTAATATGCACACACACACACACAGGCATCCACAAACACATACATGCTTATTTTTCATCTATTTATTAACTACTTTTCTATGTTTATTTTGTGATATAACTTTTCATTGTAGATGATTCAATGAATTCAGTTATTATGTCATTTATATTATTATTCAATTAAATAAATATAGGTATAACCTTTTAACCGTAATCACTATTCCCGGTATATAAGATAATCATTATCACAAATGCTTGTTTGTTTTTTTTGGACATCCATTTTTATATTTATACATGGTTGTCTCAAAGAAAAAGAAAAAAAAAGAGAAAAACGCTTTTTTTTCTTTTTTCTTTCTTTCCTTTTTTTTCAAAAAAGAAGAACAAACAAATAATATTTTATTCATTAGTACAATTGTCCATCACCGCAAATGCCTATTCATTGTGTGTTTTGATTTTTGAACAAAAAACAAAACAACATCCCATTGAAACTTATTTCGCTATATTGTTGAATCTACTACTCATATTATATATATATATATATATATATATATATATATATATATATATATATATATATATATATATATATATATCATTCAAATGACTAGTTTGCTTATGCTTATCACTTTTAAACAACATGAAGTCATTTTTGTTTGTTTAGCCGGTAAACAAAACAAAGAAAAAATAGAATCGGAACATAATTGTTTTTGTTTTTTTTAATATTCTCAATAGTGTGTATTTATTAGTTTATATTTGTCTTCTTTTTATTATTAATAATAATTTTATTCTGTTGTTAGGGTATATTACTTTTATTAATAAAACAAAACAACCTTTGTTTAAATATCGTTTTGTTTTGTTGAATGCCTTCTGAATTATCAATCACTAATTTGTTGTGAATCATAATTGAATGGTCTTGTAAGTATATTGTAAAATAGATATGGATCACTTTCGATTATTATGTGTCGATTTCATTTCAATTCTCTTATTTGTTTATCATTAACACAATCAAATAATGAATAATTGAAATTCTTTTTTTATTCTATCTTAAGAAAAATTTCTGTTTGTTCAATTAATTGAACAGTTGATAGTTTCTTTTTTTTTTATTATTTTAAATTATTTATTTCAATCAGTTTAACTTATTATTTCTAGTTAAAATTGTGGATTTATGAAACTTTAGCTATTTGAAGCGTTTCTATTAATCATTGAGTAAATAGATCAATTGAAAAATCTGTTTTACCATGTCGATCCTTATTCATTATATTCTTTATTTCATTTAATATTGTCAATCATTGGCCTATTACCATATATTTAGATGTGACAGTCATTCTATCACGGAAACAGTCTATATCTCGATTATTTATTTATTTGAACACATAAACATTGGTACAAGAAGGCACCAAATACAAATGTGCCACACAAATCAAATGAGATTTCTGTGGGGGCAAGGGTACTGACCGGGTGCCCGAAACGAAGCGGGTGGTTTTCTTGAGGAGCCACACCCGAAGCCTTAGAACTAAAAGTCTGATCCATAAGTCCCATAGTGGCTGATGACCAGCGATTGGTTTATAAGCCTCTTGTTCCTTCAGGATCGTGGGTCCCATCTCATGTACACCAATGGTTTGGAATGAAAGTTTTCCAGCTCTCCTTGGTGGACTCTCCGTGTCCATCAACCCGGTTTAAGAGCTAGACATTCGCTTCTGGTCCTCTCAACTTGTTAAACAAAAGCGGCGAGATGGCAGTGAGTAGGACTTCCCTATGAGTGGCTATATACGCGTGATCATGTATGAGCATTTGGAGAGGGACAGGTTACTTTCCTCATTTTTGGCCATATAATTACGGCATTTGGGGGCCTATATCTCGATATAATACATTATATTTGATACACTAAGGTATGACATTGCCGACAAAAACCGCTTCATAAATTGGGGACATCTTCCCTGAAATCATAATTCATCTATCGGGTTTTAGCATCATGCTATTCTAGACCATGGAAAGATTATTTTGAATGATGGTATGAAGCATGGATTTGCTCACAGCGAGTTGATCACAAATTGGGCATCATTAGTATTTATGGGACGACAGCAAGTGTCTGATAATTGCCTCGTTCTAATTGTCGTGAAAACACTACAATTTTCTACATAAGGCCACTATGGTGGATTTTTTATGATGCATATATTTCTTGTTTAGGTAGTCCATGCACAACGAATTTCACATTCGTGTGACAACTGATTCTGTCAGTTTACATGAGTGTTCCAAATATATTTATTGCTTGTATCTCGAAACACAACCTACATGAATTTCGACTTGAGAGATAACATGTATGCTGTGATGTGCGACGTTCGAAATCTGATATTGGTACACGATCTGCTACGCGCTAACCGTTCAACTGACTACTTGGGCGAGAAAGTGAATTCGACAACTGAATAAAAATCTTTAGGTCAACAATTAATTTATAAAGGCTATGAAGCTAGCAGCTAATAATCTTTCAAAATGACCTAAAAGTAAAATTATCCTAATCTAGTTCAATTTTTTTCATTTCGGGAATAGGATTGCACAGTTTACACTATTTATAAAACAACTTGCCTTACACTTTAAATTAAAACGTTTCTTACTGCTTAAATCACGGGCTGATCATAAATAACAGCTGAAACTCATTCAGCATGGGACGGATAATTAATCCCAGCTCAACAAAACATCCATAGCTCCATGAAGGATCGAAATTAGCATCACCATCTTACCACCTGAAAGCTGGGCGAACGTTCATTGCTTCAGCGATCCTAGGGTAAATCCCTTTCCACGAGACGGAGGTCCGACATACGGTGCTTTGCGAATGTGTGTGTTCTTTGTGCTCCTTATTCCGTTTACAAGTAGTATACCTACAAGTATCCCCACCGCTTTCCTCCTTACATTGGTCTTTGTACATTCTCGACTACTGAGGTATTTACTGAGGAGTCTCGAGAATTATTGGTCGATACATCAAATCCAATTATCCTAATTCGGTTTTTTATAGTGTGATCTTTAGAGAATTGTTATCCTATAGTGAAACAGCTGGCTTTTATCCGTTATCTAACTGTGATCAGCTGTGGTGCTCATCTAAAGTTTTATGTAATAATTTTCCCATCTTTCATTATTTGACTCTACCAGTCGATACTTTTTCGTGGCCACGTTTCAATGTGTACGTATCAAATTTTTCCAAGAATTTTATGTTCCTAACAGCTTGGTTTAATGACTTCAGGTCATAATATGACGATTGGTTTTGCCTCAATGAAACGTTACGTGTATACCTTATCGCCCTATTATTCAAGTTGGTCAGCAGGTCAGTGAGATGACTTTGAAAGCCTAAAACTTAGAACAAACTCTCAAGAAACGTCTTATTCATAGTTGTCTTGAGAATTTAACTGCAGTAGTTTTCAAGGTTTTTGAAAATTAATGAAAGTGGATCACTCAGGTATTTGAGTGATAGCTCTGGACCTTTTCAGAAGCGATCAGTTAAAATGATCTATCATTGTCTTGAGTGCTTGTTACTATCGATTGGAGGAATGTGGGTCTGTTATGAAATGGGGTTAGTTAGTTATCTTAAAAAGGTTTTTATGAACACTGTCAATGTTTGTAAATAGACGGATCCATTATCGTTCTGAAGATCATCGGTGTTTGTACGAAAATAGTACGCTGTGTAGTGTAACACGAAATGCAGAGAGTGCGAAGCAGTTTTAGAAAGACTTAAACTTCATAAATGAACAGCCTAACGCTTAGCTTTTTCTATTTAGTGCTGTCACATGCATATTTTCCATCCAATAGTGAGTGGATAAACACTTTAATAATTGTTTAATTAAAAGCGTAGCAGCGGCTTCGAGAAAGATTTTCGTCAAGATCCGATTGGCGAGAGAGTATAATGATATGTGAAATCACAAATCAAATAATTCCGTGAGTTTTCGATATTGTTGATGTTATTATTATTATGCTCAGCTTGAATTCTCTTGTTTGAACATATACACCAGATTATGACTTGATATGTTATGCTCCCCATTCCTCGCAATACTCAGTCAGCTTAGGTTCATACACTTCTTGATTCACTGACCATCTTCCAGAAACCTCTTCAAACTTCTTCATTCCTAAATCCTGTTTCAACTGGGTTTGAGGTCATCAACTAACAAGATGTTATGGATAAAAGCCTTTCGACGCTCAAAACTCACTGTTCTGGAGATTGAAAATTACTCACTTTGAGAAGCCAGTTTGGTGAATCTCTGGCTCAATGTGTGGTAGCAGCTCATTCGGTTGATACATTCAGATGGACGTGAAATGAAATAAGTTTCGAATTGCTGAGACCAGTACAGAAAGATTAGCCTCTGACCTTTAAATTAAGTATTTAATGGATAAACAAATGCAACAGGAACCGTTTTTTGGATACTTTTCCCTCTTCCATACGAAAACGCTTGGTCTTCATAAAAATTATAGGGAAGTTGATTCGGCAATAATAATCGATGGATTATTGAATGGACAATCTCGTTTTAATAATCCAGGTTCTTATTAAACAAGTCCGCTATTGATTGTGAGGCTATTCATTCAGATAGAGCGGTTCAGTATTTAGTCATTTGATGGCAGGGTTTAATATTCAGAAATTTGCAGGTACGGTTTTCAAGCCCTTCTAGACGGACTTGGAGGTAAATAGCCCGAAAACAATCAAAAATTTAGAACATGCAGGTTGTCATTTGGAATTTCCAGTGCCAATATGAGGACGCCTTGCGCTCTGCCACAAAATGAAAGGGAAGGATTAAATTCGCTTGATGTATTTTCAGAGGAATTGTGAATGGCTATCTCAGACAAAGTGTTCATTTCTTAAGCACAATAACATGTGTCGGCGTCTTCAGTAAGATAAGTACTCTTATGTTTGACACAGTATCCCAGTTATCGTTTAATTTAGGTAGAAAATAAAACCCATTACATATCCTTGTCAGACTAGACAATTTTCCGAGAACTGACTATAATCGGTTAAATATTTTAAGAGGCTACGACACTCAATCTAGACTTTTTCAGGGTCACTGATAAGTAATATTTCCCCTGGACTTCTGAAGATCATTTTCGTTGATGGTTTAATGACAAATATTACCGTAACCGATATGCATTAAGTATTTCTTGGAGAATCGATCTTCAAGCTTTCGCTTTCCAATCGACTAGATAATAGACGAATTAATGCAACGCGTTGAATACGCTCTTGCCAAACAATTTTTCATCTAGTAAGTTGCGCTTTTTGACCCAGCTTAGTACTATGTTTTTATTCAGAAGTGAGTCTGTATAATTACAGAGTGAGGCATTGTATGGAATGGATTCGTATATGCGCTGTCCATGCTATGACAATACGGATGCTAAGTTAAAACCTTCGGCTTTGTACTTGGGATTATCATTATTTATATTTATCACAATATTAATAGAAAGCTTTATCGTTGTATTTGTATGTTTCCTATATAGTAAGCTTTCTGTGTACCTATTAATTATATATATATATATATATATATATATA